ACTGAAGCCCACCAGTGACCAGGCACCCAAAACCTCTCCTGGCCCCCACAAACCTGCCTCCGCGTGATGTGGATTAAGGCTGCCCCAGCTAGAGAAGCCCAAGGTGACCTGGCCTACATGCCAAACTATATGACCCAGTGGATTTTTTTATGGTATGAATTAGGGCTGCCCCAGGGAGAGAAGCCCAGGGCATCTTCACCTACATGCCGATCTATATGGCCAGATTCGTATCTAAAGTTATATGACCATACAATAACCAGACCCCATCTGCACTGAAATCATTTAATGACTTTTTACATCATCTTTTCTTTTTCCAGTAAAAATAAGTCACATACCCATGCCTTATAAATTTACCCCTAACCCTCAACTCGGGGCAGCAGCAGGAGCTCTGCCTGCCCATGGGTCCTGTCCCCATGCTATTCCACACTATTCTCTAAATAAAATGAGCACTACTGCCAGATCTTGAGAGTCCAAGAAATCTTTCTTTTGACTCCTCAGCTCACCAACCCCGCATCACGCGGAGCAGCAGGGAAATGTGGGGCTTGTGGCAGATCTGGGGGAGCCTTCTCCCAGCCAGTGGGTGACTGGTTCAAATGGCCTGGAGGCCACCAGTGCGTTACTTCTCATTCTCAAAGAGAGCCAGAGAAGCCAAGCTCCCTCTCCCTGCAGATGTGAGCGACACAGCCACCACCATGACACTATGCAGAAGAGGAGCAGCCAGAGCCCTCAAGGCTGGCTCAGCCGCTGGAACGACATCCCGAAGCCTTGCACTTTCCTTCTGAGACCTCCCTATTTGTTTAAGCCAAGGCTGAGCTGGGATTTCCATCACTGGCAGCTGAACGTTCTAACTGATGCATGTCTACAGATGTAAAATTCTCCACTGGAAACTTAAAAACCTGGAGATGGTGAAGAATGATTTCCCTTCAGGTCTTTAACAACGAATAACAATGTCTCACTTTGAGAAACTCCAACACACCAAAATCTTAACTCACTTAAGCAAAGCAGAGCCTAAAATAAAGAAACTTGGTTTTAAGAGCACACGTCACACCACAAAAGGATTTGCCAGTGTCCTCTCATGAAATACAAAATAGCAGTCAACACAAGGCTGGTATATACCAGCACTTCTCAGACTTGAATGTAGCACAATGACCTGCAGGGCCTTGGTTTACTTGACAAACAAATGATTTCAACTCAAGGGAGACTACGCAACAATCTCTGAGAAACAAGAAGCCATTACCTCTTGAAGTCTAAGGAAGGACAATCCAGGATTGAGAGACGGAAAAGTGTAGCAAGGCAGCACCAGACACACTCTCCAACTTTCATCAAAAGAGGTTAAAAATACAAAACATGCTCCTGCGTCCCATGGTTCATAGACAATGACAGTCTGAATCTTTTGGTGGACTGTCACCAGGAAGCTCCAGGTTACCCGAAGGATGGGGGAGGCAAAGCGGCCTGCTACCGCCACCTTCCGAATAGCTCCAGGTAGAGTCCAACCCAAAGCTTTGGCCTCCTGCTTGTGATTAACCAAATCTCTGGCCTTGAGCCTGAATTCCTAATTCGCACTTGAAGCCAGGGACTAAGCTAAACCCCAATCTGAAGTCCAGTGACAGCCACTGCCACTCCACCTGGTACTGCAGAACTGCGGAATCAGAGAGCAAAGGGCCGGAGCACTGGCAGCGCCCTCCCAGGCCGGAGGGCCCTTTCCCTCTCGTCAGGAGCCACACCACCACTGACTCCACCTCCGAAACTTCCAGCACGAGGCATGAGGCCGAGACACTGCTTTTCCCTCCTCCCACTAGACATCTCTCAAGCCAGGGAAGGAGAGAGCAAGCTAGCAGTCACCTGCCCGTGGCAAGATCCAAGGGAGTGTCCAAGGTAGCAAGACCGTGATCAGAGGGATCTCTCACACGCCCCGAGTCTCAAACGCCAGCCAAAAAAAGAGGACCATCCGCCGACCAGCATCTAAAGCCGCCCATCGGAAACTGGCAGAATCTGAACACTTTGAGTACTCAGGGTTAGAACTCTGCAACTCTTATATTATTCCATTGTCCACCACCAAGTGTTCTTAGACACAGAACAAAGGACACACTAACACTATGGGATTTACAACATGCTATCAGCAGATGACTATCAGTTCACTCACCTCCCAGCAGCCCTGCAAACCACCATGGATGGGATAAACATAAGTTAGAGAAAAACAGTTTTCCATCAAAGTTTATATAAACTCCTCAACTTAAAAAAATGTTAAAATCCTAATTTTTCCTCTATAAAGTGTTCTGTTCCTATTGTGATGGTGTTAATGATGCGGGGTCGGTGAGCCGAGGAGTCAAAAGAAAGATTTCTTGGACTCTCAAGGTCTGGCAGTAGTGCTCTTCTATTTAGAGAATAGTCTCGAATAGCATGGGAATAGGACCCACAGGCAGTCAGAGCTGCTGAGTGCGGACAGGGCCCACGGGCAGGAGGAGCCCCTGCTGGTGCTTCTGCTGCAAACATGGGCGGAGAATAAGGCTAAATTTAAGGCATAGGTATGTGAGTTATCTCTTTACAAGACAAAGGAAAGAATATGTAAAAAAAGTTAAAATGGTATCAGTGCCAGTAGGGTCCAGCCATTGGGCAGTCCCACAACTTTTAGATAAGAATCAAACCAGATTGAGTAAATGGCAGAAGTCACCACTTAAATATTATCTTCAGCTAAAGACAAAGGAGGATGTTGGAGGGGGGTCAGTTACATGAGGTTGCCAGACAGTAAACAACTTAAGTTCTTGCCTTCCCCAATAAGCGTTTCCAGAGATAAGGCCATCCCCCCTTCCTCCTGGCTCAGAGAGGGAGGCATGGAGATTTCCTTCACAAATGCAACTGTCTCTCATCAAAGGGCAAGCAAATTCCACTCCTCAGAGCCTGCTTCTCATCTACAGTTTTAAAATTAACCAGCCTAAAATCCTCATCATTAAATGTTATCTGAAGTTCAGGTTCTTTGGAGAAGGCTTATTTTCTCATTCTGCAAAAACCACTATCCTCTATTTGCTATTGAATCTGAACTCTATACAAACACATACATCCCACTTTATTAGTCAATATAGACCAGTTAAAAAAAATAATATATATACATATATTTAGAAAGCTCAGCCCTGAGCTAACTGCTGCCAATCCTCCTCTGTTTGCTGAGGAAGGCTGGCCCTGAGCTAACATTCGTGCCCATCTTCCTCCACTTTATATGTGGGACGCCTACCACAGCATCTTGCCAAGCAGTACCATGTCTGCACCGGGGATCCGAACCGGTGAACCCCAGCCCGCCAAAGCAGAACGTGCAAACTTAACGGCTGCACCGCGGGGCCGGCCCCACAGACCAGTTAAATTTTAATAGTTTAAACCACCTAAGAGATGATGTGAAAATCAAACAGAAAACGGACAGCACGGTGGCAGACTGCTTCGCCAACCATCCTCACATTTTCCTTTTAATATACACACACACTGGCGTGCAGTCCATTAAACTGCAAGGCTGTGTTCTGCTTAACGCACCAGTTCTAAGTATCTTCAATTTTTTTTAATAGTCTGCTTCTAAAAGTATTCTAACTCCAAAGTGAAAAAACTGGAAATTACAGCAAAGGCCACTCAAAAGAAACTCGCCATCACTCACAACCCCTCCCTGTTATTGAGTGCTGATGGTGGGACCCTGAGCATCACTTGACCTTCTCCAAGCCCTGCAGAGTCACAGGTCTTTCTCCGAACCTCCTCCCTGCCCCACCGCTTGGCCTAAGTCTCCCACAGCACAAAGAAAGAAGCCACGCTTCTTCACTTCCACCCTGTGCAAACACGCAGCCTCCACAGCGCTCCTAACAAGGCAGCGTTAACAACCAGGGCACGATTCTTGAGCGTGAGACACACACGAGACCGGACAGACGCCTACATGGGCTTTGTGACCCAGCACGCCGCCGGGAAGAGGCGGTTCTGCCACACAACCAGTACAGGAGATAAAACTCGCAACAGACCTTTCTGCCCCAGAGAGGGGCGTCTTACCTGAAACAACGTTTCCCAGTGCAAACTCGTAATACAACAAAAACAGCAGGCACGACCTAAAGAGTTTCTGCATAGTGGGATCAATCTGCGAAATAATTCCACTACTCGGAGACCTGGGCCTCGCATTTTGCAGGTGACAAGGGAAGCGTGAGGGGACCTGGCGGCGCCTGGGGGACAGTCCGCCCTGCGGTACCCACGACCGCCGCGCTCCCGGCCCACTGCCCGGCCTCCACGTTATCCACGAAAAGCACCCCTCGGACCCCGGGTCGCACGCCAGGAGCTTAACGCCCATGTTAGCCCAGGGACGAAAAGTGCCCACTCCGTTCCAGGGCACCGAGCCCTCGGAAGCGGCCGCTGTCGTTGGACCGGTTTTAAACGCGCAGTCAAGCAGCCGGAGCCCCGCGGGCACGTGGTTTTAAAGGGCACCAGCCCTCCAGGGAGACGGACAAGGAGGGAGACAATCGGACAGCCGACCTGTGGGGGCGGAGGGAGCACGCGCACGGCGCAGGGGACTGGCGCCCGACGCTCGCGGACACGCCCGCCCACCTGCCCAGCCTGGGGCGCGGCCGGTCCCGCCCGCACGTGCGGCGGAGAGGGCGAGGGAAGGGGGTAGGGGGGGAGGGGGAAGGGGAGGACCGACCCCGGCCCCGCTCACCTGGGCGGCGGGCGTCTGCGGTGTCAGCCCGCGCGCCTGGCACAGGAACGCAGACCAAAGACGCTGGGTGTGCGCGCGGCTCGCAACCCGCGTCCCGCCGGCCGCTCTTTGTGTCTGGAAGCGAACGCCGCGCTCCTCCCGGCGCCGCCCCACCAACGCCCTCCCCTTCCCGGCGCCGCCCCTCCAACGCCCTCCCCCTCTCGGCACCGCCCCCCTGCCCCCTCCCCCTCCCGGCACCGCCCCCCCGCGCCCTCGCCCCTCCCGGTGCCGCCCCTCCAACGCCCTCCCCCTCCCGGCGCCGCCCCCGCTCCTCCCGGCTCCCTACCCGTCTCCCTCTGCGCCGGGCACGGCGGGCGCTACCCCATGGGCGAGGTGGCGAGGGCAGAAAATCCTTGGGGCGGCGGCGAGCGGGGGCGAGGACCCAGCTGCAGCCTCTGGGGCGTCTCCGGAAAGTTTAGCGCCTGAGGGAGTGAACTCTGGAGCTGACCTTCCTGGTCTCTAAGCCATGTGTCCCCGGTGGGATTTGGCTGTTCACAGTTCTTGGTTTAGCATCTTTTTCTGGAAACAACCAAGGGAGGCAGGCCAGACAAAGGTAACGTCCCAAATTCGCAGTTGCAGAAACCGGGAGACGTAAAACTTACGGTTGCTTTCTATCATATGTTCAATCAGTAAATATTTACTGAGCACCTACTAGTGCCAGGCATTGTCCTAGGGGCTGAGAATAGAGCAGTGACGGGGGCGGGCAAAAAAAATGAAGCTTAGGAGGTTAAATAACTTGCCGGGATTCATACAGTTCCAGGTGCCGAGATCTGATCCCGGAACCTGCATGCGCTCTGGCTGATCAGTCAGCTGCTGAGCCAAGACCTGGGGCTGCTTCCTCCCACCTGCTCTCCACACCTGGTGTCGCTGACTTCCTCCTCCTCCTCCTCCTCCCACTGCAGTGGGACTGCTCTCGGTGTCCCCACTGACCTCTCAGTTATCCATGCCTGAGGCTTGTCTTCATTCCTTATCTTCGTGGCTCCGGGGCGTGAGCAGATCCGCCCTGGCTCCCTGACACAGCCCTCCTGGCTGGCCTGTGGCTTCTCTGACTGTCCCTTCTCAACGCTTCCTTGTGGTCCTCCTTCTCCCTTCCCTAAGTATTTTCATTCACAAGGGTCCTAGACTTGGCTCTCCACTCTCTTTGCCTAGTCTTTGGGTGATTCCATCCTGTCGCCTTTCTTACTCACCAACCTCCTGCTCTCTGTGCCTTCCTCAGTATTCCTAGTCCTGCTCTTACTCTGGTTCTCACGCTTTCTCTCTTGAAGCCCCAAAGATTCAGCTGGCAATTGTATATTCCACTTCCATGTCCACAAACAGTTAAAACTCAATTAATCAACAAGTCTCAAACTGAAATATTTCTTTCCCCTAAAACATGCTGTTTCTTTTTGTAAATCCCCATCTTGTTGATGGTCACTATCCTTGCATCTCCTCCTCATGCTCACTTAGTTGCCAAGCCCTGTAGATTTCTGTGTCCTCTTCTCTCAAATCCCAGCCACACCATGCTGCTGTGTCAGGCCCTCCGGATCCCTCCCGAGGCTTGCTAAAGCACTGCACTGCTTTGTGCTTGCCGCCTGCGGCAGTGGCAGGTGTATTTTCTAAAACATACACCTGTGTTGTCTCTTTTCTGCCTAAAGCCTTTCAAGGGCTCTTGCTGAAATGGCTTAGCAGGTCCTTCCTTCCAGACCTGGCCCTGCCAGTCGTCAAGCCTCACCTGCACCACCAGTCTGTTCTCATCCAGCCTTCAGGCCACTGGGGCCTCCCCGGAGTTTTCTGAAAGAGGGACAGATGGTGGGCTCTCTCTCCTCCAAAACTTTGCAAACCCCTTTACCTCTCAATCAGCTTTCAGGACTAAACACAGAAATTCCCCATCGTCTTTGCTTCCTTTCCTCCGTCCTTCCAGAACACCCATGTTCACTTCTATCCAGACTTGTATCACTCTTTACTTTGATAATCTGTTTACTAATTTGCTCTTCTGCTAGGTTTTTGAGCTCCCTGTGGAGCTCTGTCCCCCTCCTTTTATTGTCCGTTATCTCTGCCCCTCCCCGCAGAATCCAGCAAGTGCTGTTTGTGTAGCATGGGCTACAAACCATAGCATGGGCTGCTGATGTCCTCTCCCCCTTTGACCTCCCTTAGTGATTTTCCTTGTGCCTTTGCTCCTTCTTTTCACCCCTGATGTAGAAAGGGAAGTCTTACTAGCATAACAATACATCAAAATGCTGAAATGAGCTGCAATGCGATCTGGCATGAGGAAGGTGGATATATTTTGTAGGGACTCCACTTTGAAGGATGTGAGGACCTGGGGCAAAATGACTGGTGCAGGGAGGAGCAGGGAGGCAGGATGAAAGCTCAGCTCGGGAGGCACATCGTAGGAAAAGGATCGGGGAAGGGACCAAGGGAAGTGAAATTTCAAGTGCCTGCAAGTGGCAAACTCCACACAGAGTGAAAGGCAGCCAGAGAGGACTGGGGAAGAGGTGCTCACACCATACTCTGGGCTGTGAGTTTTCCTGAGTAGCCAGAGGGCATGGCTGGGACAGGGGTGGGGCAGGGTGAGAGGTCAGCTGAGGAGGATACAGTCTTGTTAGAATATCTGGGCTCGGTTTTCTCTTAGAAGATTTGAGGGATATCCTGTATTATTTCTCTGTACTGTTTCCCTCGACCCAGAGAGGGTGATTCTGTCCTTTTAGAGCGTATACTCAGGCTTCATAGCTACCTGCCAATTCAGCTTTTTTTTTTTTTTATTGAGGTATAATCGACATATAACATTATATTAGTTTGAGGTGTACAACATAATGATTCGATATTTGTATATATTGTAAAATGATCACCACATTAAATCTAGTTAACATCTGTCACCATACATAGTTACAAAATTTTTTTCTTGTAATCAGAACTTTTAACATTTACTCTCTTAGCAACTTTCAAATATGCAATACAGTATTGTTAACTATAGTCAGCATGCTCTACGTAGCATCTCCGTGACTTACTTACTTTACAACTGGTAGTTTGTACCTTTTGACCACCTTCGCCCATTTCACCAAACCCCAGCCTCCACCTCTGGCAACCATCAATCCATTCTCTGTATCTAAGAGCTCAGTTTTTTTTTTTTAAATTTCCTAAGCTATAGCCAATCAAATAGTTTTTAAATTTCTTTGCTTTGCTTCCACCTATTCCACCTAGTATTTCCCCTAGCTCCTGTCAGTGGAGTGCTGCTAACCACTTCCAATTTGGTGCTGCCCAATTTGAATCAATTTTTGCTCAAATAAACTCTTTAAGATTTTTAATATGCCTCAGTTTATCTTTTAACAACCGTAAGTCCAAGTATAGATTAATCTTATCATCTTGAATCAAAATGTTGTTGACAGAAGAAAATTCATTTTAGAAATGACTCCAATTTGAAGGTGTTCTGGTAACCAGATTAGGCCCGGATAGAGTTGCTCATGCTATGCCCATGTCAACGGGCCACAACTTAATTGAGTTTCTATGCTCAGCTCTCCCAGAAAAGGAAGGACCTGGTCAACCAGTCAGGGCTTGGCTGCTCAACACAAGTCACCTGGCCCAGCTCCAAGACTTCCCTTTGCTCCATAGAGGGAAAGTAACCCCACTTTAACCAATTGGCAAATGCCCAGTATAACTTCTTTGGTCTATAAAAATCTCTTGCCTTGGACAGCTTCTCAGAGCTCCTTTCTATCTGCTAGATTGGATGCTGTCTGATTGATAAATCACTGAGCAAAGCCAATAAGATCTTTAAAATTTACTCAGTTGAATTTTTTTTTAAACAGTTTTGGTGATGAGGATGGGATCCAGAGGAGACTACTGATGGCTTTGGGGACAATGAGAAACACACAGGTATATGTGCCCACTGAACCCTTTGTGTTCCCTGTCTTTCTTGATGTTTCCAAGGGCCATGGGTAAGTTCCTCTTGTATTTGAGCTCTGCAGTTTTTGTGTTTGAGCTCCTAATCTAATTGGCTTTTCCAGTCTAGGGTTTAGCAGGCCAGCTTGAGCTGACAGATGGTTCCACCTGGAGCCTGAAGTCCCTTGATTAGTCCACAGTCCCCATTTGTTGGCTTCTTCTGGCTCAGTCAGCAGTTCCACTTTGGAAACTGCTGGTTTTGTTGGTGCACACCTAAGATAAGAGTGACAAATTTGTCTAACAGAAACTATGGAGACATGGGATGCTCAAGTTCTAAAGAATGAAGCACTCCACCTTCTGGTACCCCAGTTCCTTATTGTTTAAAAATTATGGTTCTGGAATTTGCATATATTTGCATAAATGGCAAGATCTCACTAAGGGTAATTTTGAATTACAGTGGCCACAGTAGGAAATTTTAACCTAAACTTATCCATTTACAAGGTGCCATAGGGAAAAATGAGTCTCAGCCAAGAACCCACTGTAAAGTGTAGTGGGAAGGTCATTCTTCCTCCTCTACAGTTTCTGGCAACGCAGATGGATCCTTCTGGGACATCCTCCTTACTCTGGAGCCCACAGATGGGATCCTGGGAGAACGGGCAGAGGCTGGTGAAGGGTGAGAATTCTTACTAGAATCAGCTCTCTTAGATCTCTGTCTATAGTGCCTGGTCAAGAGAAGAATGTAAAATTTCACATTGTCCCTTCCTTTCTAAATTCAGACTCTTGTGAACTTGGTTTTGGGGTGCACATGGGTTATCAATCCTTTCTCTCCCAGGTACAGCTCTTGCTTTCTTTTAAAGATTTTCTTTTTTCTTTTTTTCTCCCCAAAGCCCCCTGGTACATAGTTGTATATTTTTAGTTGTGGTCCTTCTAGTTGTGGCATGTGGGATGCCACCTCAGCATGGCTTGATGAGCGGTGCCATGTCCGCGCCCAGGATCTGAACTGGCGAAACCCTGGGCCACCAAAGCAAAGCACGTGAACTTAACCACACGGCCACAGGGCTGGCCCCCAGCTGTTGCTTTCTTGTTTGTCTCATTTTGTGTCCTGAGAACTTGACTTGGTTTTCTGCTTTCCTGGAGCATGCAGCGTGTTGGTTCTTGCACATGCAGGCAGCTCAACTGTCAGGTTGGGGGCTCTGATAGTATGGCCAGACAGAAATGTAGGATGCACTCCATTTGCAGCTAGGGTCCAACCAACTCTTGCCAGCTCTCAGGGGAATTGTCTAAGTCTGTCTTTCTTTTGGATATCTCTGGCAGTGGTTCTGGATCTTGAGAGGGCTACGTCTTTTGCACCCTCTTTGGGGATGCATCTTGCATACTTGGATAAGTGATAAAGCTTATTGGTTTTTTTTGAGTCACTTGATAGGTATACTTTTAGTTTAAAAGAAGAAAAAAGGGGGGGAGGCAGTTCAGTACTTCGAGGAGTATTTTTACTGTTTGTCCTGGCTGATTGAAACCTGATGAGACATCTGAAGGAATTTTTTTTTTTAAGATTTTATTTTTCCTTTTTCTCCCCAAAGCCCCCCGGTACATAGTTGTATATTCTTAGTTGTGGGTCCTTCTAATTGTGGCATGTGGGATGCCACCTCAGCATGGCCTGACGAGAAGTGCCATGTCCGCACCCAGGATTCAAACCCGTGAAAC